ACCGCCAGGAGTGACCAGGAATAACGGTCACAAGCTGGCAGAGGGTAGGTTTAGGTTGGACATCAGTAGGCGCTATTTCACGGTCAGGGCGGCTAGGGTCTGGAACCAACTTCCAAGAGAAGTGGTGCAGGCTCCTACCCTGGGGGTTTTTAAGGGGAAGTTAGATGAACACCTTGTTGGGTGTCGTTTGACCCCAGTACTCTTTCCTGCCGTGGCAGGGGGTCGGACTAGATGATCTGCTCAGGTCCCTTCCGACCCTAGAAACTATGAAACTGCAGAGTAGGTGACAACTCCTGATTCTCAGTGGCCACATCTACATGAGTAGCCAACTGCACAGTTGTTACTGTGCAGTCATTTCGTACTTGCTTAACTAAGTACTAAATGACTGTGCAGTAATCAGCGTTACTGCACAGTCCCGTCGCCACATGGTTATTTTTAGATACTGCTGCACAGAAGCAGCAAGCTACTGCACAGTAGCTCGTTACTACTGGGGTGAGAGACAGTGTCAAAGGCCTTCCTAAAGTCCAGAAAGACTAAGTCCACTGCTACACCTGCGTCTAAGGATTTTGTGACCTGGTCATAGAAAGCCACCAGGTTGGTCTGACAGGACCTGCATCTAATGAACCCGTGTTGGTTGCCCCTAAGCATAACCTGCCCCGCTGGCCCCTCACGAACATGTGCCAGGATAACTTTCTCAAAAACCTTACCTAGGACCAAGGTAAGACTGACTGGCCTATAGTTTCTTGGGTCCTCCTTCCTCCTTTTTTTGAAAATGGGAACCACATTGGCCCTTTTCCAGTCCTCTGGCACCACACCAGAGCACCATGAGTGCTTGTAAAGCCATGCCAGGGGTCCCGCTATGACCTCTGCTAATTCCCTCAGCACTCTGGGGTGGAGATCATCAAGACCTGCTGATTTAAATATGTCCAGTCCCTCCAGAAGTTCCCTGACTAGGTCCTCACTGACCCTAGGCCTGGGTGTGCCTCCCCTGGGACCTACTGGGGTCCCAGTGTGGGGGGGTGACCTGGTCCCTGCTCAGAAAAATGGAGGCAAAGAAATTGTTAAATAGGTTAGCTTTGCTGTCTGGTGGGATGACCAGATTTCCTACTGTGTTCTGCAGAGGCCCCATGTTACCCGGTACCTTCTTTTTACCCCCTATGTATTTAAAAAAGGATTTCTTGTTGTCCTTGATCTGGGTAGCTAGTCCCAGTTCCATCTCCGCCTTGGCCTTCCTGACTGCCCCCCTACAGCCCCGAGCAACCGAAGTATAGTCCTCCCTGGTGATGGCCCCGTCCTTCCATTGGGTGTATGCCTCCTTTTTAGCTAGGAGACAATCCCGTATGCTTTTGGCGAGCCATGGGGGCTTTTGCCCCTTTGATCCACGTTGGGATTACATCCCTTTGGGCTCAATTGTCTCTTTAAGGAATGACCACTCTTCCTGGACACCCGACTCCCCTCCCCTCCAGGACCTCAGTGCCTCTCCGACTATTCTCCTTACCTCATTGAAATCCACCCTCCTGAAGTCCAGGGCTGTTGCCTTGCTGCAGGCCTTTGCCACCTTGCGCTGGATGGTGAA